CTGTAATGGCTGTTTCCTCGCTTTTCGCAGCTTCTGGTGGTCAACCATATCCCTTTCCATCTTCCAGCACAGCAATGGTTTGCTGAGTCTTTTTATACCTTGTAACTCTGATACTGAGTTGTTAGCCTCCCTCTTGTACTTTTAAGGACCTTTGTGATTACAATGGTCCCACTAGAATTATCAGCGTAATCCCCTTATCTCAAGTTCAGGTGAGGGCCAGGGATGTAGTTCAGTGGCGCTGTGCCTGCCTGACAAGTGCAAGGCCCTGAGTTCAGTTCCTGGTACCAGAATAGAAAATAGAAAATCTAAAAATTAGGTTGGCTGGCAACCTTATTTGCTTTTTGCTCTGTTACTTTATGTATTCACAGTTCAGGGAATTAGGATGTGGATATCTTGAAAGGCGTGATTACCGTAGCATATACTAGTCGCTACTAGGATATCTTAGTTTAGGAATTGGTTTTGCAACAGTAACAGATATTTTATATGGTAGATTCTTGAGATTATTGGGTCAAATAGCAAATCTCAAAGTATGAAAATAAGTTTTGGTTCTACAATAGTGTAAACCTCCATATTATAATCACATCCAAGACCCATCTTGCCATCTAAATGCTTGTCCTCAAAATCAAGCAAGAATTTCTGTAATCTTCAGGTAGATGATAATCTTTGCCTTTGTGAAGTGTGGTGAAATTTGCAGGAAGGATGCTTTAAATCCATTTCGTTGTTGTTGTGTTTTTTGTATCGGAGATCGAACTCATGACCTTGCACTTGCCAGGCAGACACTTACGGCACTGAGCTAAATCCCAAGCCTTAATCCATTTTTATGTGTCTGTGGTTTTTCAAGTTTGAAATTATAGTTACAATTAAATTTGCTTTAGAATAGTAATCATGTGCCCATACTTTGATACATCATATTTTTAGCTCAGCCACATGTGAAACATAATAATGCAGGCAAACCACAGCAGGATTACTGTAAGAAAAAGGCCATAAAATTGCCGTCACCCAGTATTTTTTAAACCCCAAAGACTTCATGGCAATTAATCATCTTAGAAGAAGGGTGTGGAGAGCTTTACCTAACTATAATGTGATTTCAGGGAAACTGGAGCTTCCTGACTTTATCTGTGAAGCATTTGGCACCCTAATAGAAGTTGAAAATCTCAGAACTGTAACTACTTTTTAAATATTTTCTGGAATTATTTGTGTAGCTACTGTATTTATACACAAGTACACATTCAATAAAATAGTATTTTCTCATGATCTTTGTGATAGAATGTTTTCACATAGAATTTTGATCTGTTCATACTGCTATTCATTTTCATTCAGTAGAGGCCTCTAGCAGTGTTCCTTGGCTGCATTCACATCCTCTCTCAACACTGAGCATCATGGAGAAGGGAGCTTCTCTTCCACATTACTTTTTGCTTCCAGCATCATATTCAGTGTCATAGCAGATACTAAATTAATGTGAAAAGCAGCAATAAATTTTAATCTATCACTGAGGTGCAGTTTTTAGAGCACTAGAGAAGTAGTATGAATTATGATTCCCTTTACTATATCCTGTCTACTCTAAAATTAAAAAAGAAAAAGTGTCCTTTTATTGAGAAAGAGTCCATAATAGTACAAATACATGTATTCAGATAAGTAGTTTTTCAAGTCTGACATCTGATTAAAAGGAATATACATCAAGGAACTAGGCCTGGAACTAGGGTTTGGACCATGGAAAATGTTCAAAGCTTATTCACATCTACTTTGAGAAGATAATGCTGAAATCGGAAGTGGGATGTTAGAAACAAGATAGTAATGTGAAGCTTTCCAGTATCCAGTAAACCTGCCAGACACCCCGACCTTGCCTGAGAAATTGGGGCTAAACATAGCAAGTCCTACAATGGAAAAGTGTGAAAAAGACAATTTTTTTAAGACAAATTAATTTAAATTTTATGCAAGTTATACTGTAATTAGTTCATGAAAGTGTGAAATAAAGGTAGTAAAAATGTGTTTTGATGATCTCATTTAAATCTGAATATTGCTTTGAACACACATAAAATATGCATTGATGACAATGAAAAAGGAGAAAAGAAGCTCTGCATGGTTTTCCTGGGGAAAAAATAGAAATATTTGAGTTAATGGAAGTAAAAAAGATTTAAAAGCATTGGTGATATGTAAATGGAACATAAGCCAAAGACTTAAGAGGAATGAATCATTAGGTCTTCAGTGAAAAGGTCCAAGAAGCAGAATGATTCAGCCATTTTATCTCTCAATCTGAAGCGTTTGGAAAATACAGATTATTAGAAAAATATTACAAAAACCTCCATGAATATTTCTTCCACTTGCAGTCCTCAGGGAAAGTTATTCTCACACAGGATAAGAAATGCATTCTACTTGTGATGATCATTCTGTCTAGAATATATTTCCTTTGCTAATATGAAGACGTACCAACAGAAAAGGTCTGCTAGTATTTAAAGAGGAGGCGGGGGTCTAATCTCTGAGATACACATCTCGGTAGAGAATTTAAAGTACATGTCGTTAATATCCATAGAGGGATTCAGTTGTAGAGGGACCGTTTAATATTTCAGTAAATTAAAACATGGCTTTAGGATCAGACTCTGTGTTTGAAACCTGAATTTAGCACTTATTAGATGTTTGAATCTCAATGTCCCGGAGTTCCTCATCTAGAGGGTAGGGATAATAATTTTTACCTAATTTTTAAAGTTGTCCTGGTTGTCAGCTGAATTAATGAATCATGCATAGAATAGTACTAGGCATATAGTAAGCATTTTTATTATAATTACACTCTTCACTCAGAAAAAGTGGCTGGCTGATATGAAAAAGAATAAATTGGAAATCATGCAAATAAAAATAAGTGTTGAAATAAACGCAGTTGTAGTGCTGGAGATACAGCTCAGCAGCATAGTGCCTGCCTGGCGGGTGCGAGGGTCCTGAGTTTCATCCCCAGGACCACCACCACCAAGGAAAAGAAAAGGAGAGGAAGAACAAATGCAGGTATTAGGACAAACACAGCTAAAGGTCAGATTCAGGAGTTGTGTGGTCAAGCAAAGGGATTTTCCTTTAAAACAATATCAAATGAAAAGAAAAGTATGAGAAGATATCTACACCTGTTTTCATCTAATAGGAGCTCTAGTCAGAAAATACGAGAGAATGAGAAGGAAAACTGATTTTCTCTAATAATGGAAAGAATATTCACAATTTTTAAAAGGTCTCATATATTGTAGATTTGGCAACTGCTAAGCAGAATTAATGAAAAAAATCCATACCTAGGCTCACTCTAGTAAAATTCTGTAAAAACAAATATTAAAAAAATAAAATAAATCCAAAGCTTCCAAAAGGGTTATCTACATAGATCAGATTGATACTAGACTTCTTACCAGTTATGTTACATGATAGATTTTAAATTCTGATCAGAAATGATTTGGAACCTCAGTTCTGTTTTTAGCCAAATTAGCTTCCAAGATTGAGAACAAAGCAAATATATTTGGCAATGCAAAGACAAAAGTATCTTTTCAAAGAAATCCTTTGAAGACGAAGGGGAACACAAGAATCAGTGATAAGCAAAGCTGCCAGCAAAACTTAAGATCCAGTCCAAATAATCAGAATCATTTCTGTGAAATTTAAGGAATGATAATAGCAGTCTGAGAAATGATGGGGTAATGTCTACAAATTTTTTAAGAAGAGTTGTACCTAGTAGGAAAGCGTAAATTTCTGCTGTCAATACTGTTTCCATTTTTAACAACTTAAATGAAAGGCTTCAGGAGGCTCTTGACAGACTTGAAGGCACACATTCTTCCCTGCCAGCTGAAACGGTGAGTGTGTTGTCAAGGTGTGTGTGCATGGAAGTGGGGACACAGCTCCACAGACTGGTGGACTTGTGGAAACCGAAGCCGGCTCTTGTGAATTAAAATCAGCTTCAGGTGACCCGCTCAGCAGGAAGAGTTCTTAAGGTTCACTAAAGTCTGTGTCATTACCTTCCTCCACTGCCTCTGCTTTCTGTGCTGCTTGTTCTCCCCACCGTCGTGGGGAGCACTTCTGAGCGTGCACAGACATTTGGTTGGCCTGCAGAGTTGCTGCATCTGGCCCAGTGTTCTCATGCTTCATGGGCGGTGGCACAGACCGTGGATTGGCTGCCTTGCGCTGGCACCTCCTGGTCTTTCTAGACACTGTGGTCAGAGGAAGCCGGCAGTCATCTGCTAGAAGGCTCATCGAGGGCTGCCTCATCAGCAGCAAGGCAGACTCACCCTAGAGACAGGCATGGTCCCCACAGGGGCTATTCTGGTGAACATGGCACGTAGTCTCTGCACACTTTGCCTTTTCTTTAAAACCTAAAGTGACTGGCATTGAAAGTAGCAGTCACATTTAAAGACTGAGTAGTACAGAAAAGGAAATATCCGAGAATGCTTACCTGACCTGAGAAATGGTCTTTGCTCACTGCTTTGTAAGCCGCACAATAGTCTTGTCTGTTTTTTTTTTTTTTTTTTTTTTTTTTGGTAGGTAGCTTGGCTGAAAGATCTGTTCAGTCAGGGTTGTTAAAATCTTGGACATGGTAGGATAGACATCAGGGAAGGTTTTAGTCCTGATATTTTATTAGCTATTTTTGGCTTGAAAAGTAGTTTTTAGACAACCAAACCCCTTTAAAAGTATTCTGTGATACCTGTGTTACTTATTTAAAGCCCAAGATTGATACTGAACTTATGGCATATCATAGAACGCTTATTTTTACCTTTTCTTGTGTATTTTTTTTCCTCACAGGGTCTTGCTATGTAGTGTTGGCTGGGCTTGAACTCACTAATGTAGCTCAGACTGGCCTCAAACCCAAGGCCAGCCTCCTGGCTCAGTTTCTTGAGTGCTGAGACTATAAATGTGCTCCACCAACCCACCTAAAATTTATAGCAAATAATTTAATAGTAATGTCATCAGACCTGAAAAATTATATTTAGTAATATATGAATATTATTAATTAAATTGTATGCAAATGTTTGTTAAATTCATTGTAGGTTGGGCCATGCAGGCTGCTGCCTATATCTTCATTCATAGGAAGTGGAAGGATGACAAGAACCACTTTGAAGACATGATTGATTATTTTTGTGATATTGGTGAACCACTTCAGCTCCTCATATTCCCAGAAGGGACTGATCTCACAGGTAATGTAGACTGGGCTTGGGGCACAGACTTGAAAACGTAGAGGAACCTAGAAGTTAGCTACTGTTAAATGAAGTAACTGAGTAGCAGCCAGACCGCTGTACCGCCCGTCAGGTCGCTCCATTAATCAGTAGCACGCCAGGACCCAGGACTCATCGTTTCCAGCCCACTGACTTTATTACAGTCAGCCACCATCGTCATCTTTATTCATGCTTGCTTTCCTACACTTGCTATTTTGAGCCTCAGAGTATGTTTCAAAATAGCCTTTTATCTTCATATAAGCAGAGTTTTAAAATTATCTTTTAAGTAGTTTTTCCTTACTTGTTCTGTGTATTCTCTTGTCCTTTTCCAGGGTATTTATTTGTCCTTTAGTTCCCTTTCTCCTCAGCTTTTTCCTTATAAGAAAAACAATCTGAATGTTACTCATGTCAGTTTTGTTGATTTAAATGCATGTGGAGCTTTCTCCTTTGCTTACTGTGGGTAGGAAAGGCTTCGGCATATCTGTAATATAGAACAGCTCTCCTCGTTTATGCGGAACTACATTCGTCTCTGCCAGGCTTTGAAATAGTGAGTGTATGGTGAGGTACGCATGGCATTAGGAGAGGCGACTTCTCGAGAAAAATCACTTGTCACTGAGTTGTGAGGCACACTTAGACTTTTGTACTTTCCGCATATCAAACTGAGTGAAAAAGAATTTTCAGTTATTTAGAATATAGGTCATTTTATTTCAATCTGGATGTAAAATGAGTAAAATCAGAACTTGCCTGGTTGAGGGCTGGGATGGATGGGTTTGAGAGGGATTTAGTTTAGACAGGAAGGAGTTACAACTTCAAGAAAGAAACAACAGAATTTAAGAAAAATCCAGTAGGCGAAGGTCTGCTTTCTGAAAGTAAACAGCCAGAGCAGAGTAGAGTGGAACTGAGAGAAGGTGCTTGGAACTGTCTTCCAGATCTTTGGTACTAAGTCCAGAAGCGCAACTCTTGAAATTTAAGAAAAGAGAACACATAAGTGGACATGCTAATTTATACTGTGGATATAATAACGGATGGAACGCATTACCCCCAATAGAGTTCAAAAGAAAAAATACAAATTTCACAAATACTTAAGTGGTGACAAGCCATTGTAGGTTAATGAGGGAAATTAAGGTATCTGGAGAACTTTTACAGTATATGGCAATAAAGAAATTTTTGCCTCATCTGTTAGAGATGGAACTGAGCTATGTAACCATGGCAATTCTTATGTACTAGAGAAGTTCCTGAAATAAATGCTTACTATGTAGTATATGTTTGCTTCTATACTTAAAATTCTAAAAATAGTTGGGTCAAAGAAGATAATATGAAGAATAATATCGCCTTTTAAGCTTGAAAATATATCACAATGAGTGTAAGTTGATTTCCATAATTAAACTATCTTTTGGAAATTATATCATACTTAAATTTTATAATACTTAGAATATATAATACAATCATTTATAACCTTGGTACTTGGCTGCTTTGAAACATTTTGCTCTAGGACTCATTGTTTAGTACTCTACTTGTAAGCTACAATTTGTCAGTGTTCCTGGTTTCCTATCCTTCCCAACCAAAGCAGTTCATTTGGTCATTTTTGGTATTCTTTATACTCCTGGAACCAACAGGTGCCGAACTACCAGGGTACCAAAATTTGGATATTAACTTCCTTTGCTAAATAGAGTTTAAAAAGCTATTTACTAAAATAATAGCTTGATTTATATTTCTGAATGCAAAATGTATATTAAAGAATAGCAACCATGTGACTTATTTAATCAAATAAAAGCAAATGGAAAAGGTCACATATTGTTGGTCCTTTGGACCATTAATGGCAATATGTTCAGACAGTGGACCTTCAGTCTATAAACTATATTTAAAGCACATCTTCATTCTGTATTTTTTCTCAGGTTTCTTTTGTAGGTGATGAAATTTACATTCATGTACTTATGTCTGCAGTCCATCCCTATCATGTGATACTTTTATAAAATGGTGTTTGGAAAGGCTACACTATTTGCCATTAGAGAAAACAGTTTCTGAAGCTTTACAAAGTGTTTTTTGTTGTTTTTTCACATAATTACTAAGGTGATTAAATAATAGAACCAATTAAATATACGGAGAAAAGTTGAGCTTTGTTTTAGTGAAGTGACTTTTGAGATGATGGATGCCTGCAAGTTCAGAATCTTTAGGGCGGGCCAGCAGGCCTGAGCCCTGGGGAAGTTACAGTTTGAATCCAGAGTGGGTCTAGAGACGGAAGTCCTTCCTTGCTGGGGAGGGCTGAAATCCGGAATAACATTGGACCAAATCCCTGAGTATTGTGGCCTTGTCAAGTTGATACATAAAACTAACTGTCACAATTCTTATTCTTTACTTTTGAGTTCCATTTCTCTGATTTATAAAGGAAGATGGTTCTAAATTTTAATAATTGTATACAGTTTAATAGCTTTATACATAAAACATCATCTAATAAATACGTCTGGAGCTTGATATACAAGCAAAACCTTTTCATTTAAACATATATGAGGAAAGAAATAATAAACTGGTAAGTTGAAATATATACAACTATTGTAAGTTCTATGAGAAAAAATAAAACAGAATAAAGAGAAAAAAACAGAAGGTTGTAGGGTGCTGTTTGATAGACAGTGGGTAGGGCATGCTGCTGTGTTAAATTTGGGTTTAAGGAAGAACTGAATGAACAAAGTGAGACCTATGGGACTGCATGGGTGAGAGGGCCCCCGGGGAAAAGAAAGAGCAGCTGCCCCGGCCTGCCTGCGTAAGGGCAGTGCGGCCCAGGTGCCCTGAGCAGCGGTGCTGGATGGGCGTCACAGGGAGTGAGAACCCAGGCAGGAGGCTGCGGTCAGGAAGGGTGATGCTGCTGCAGGTAGGCAGAGCAGCAGGTCTGGGGTGGGCAGATTAGGGGTGGTGGAGGGACAGTCTCTGTTTCTACTCCCACATCATGACTGCGCGTTCTGGAACTATGCATAGCTGTATCCACACGCACAGAAGAACTCAGTGTTGTCTTCAGTATGCCCAGTGTTTCTGACGGGAGCAGACTAGTGAGTAGTCAGTTCCTCCTCAGCTTTCGGTGCTTTTGGGATCCCTAATCTCACCGAGTCCTGTCAGCTGCCCATAATAGAGATACCATTTTGTATTCTCATCCCAGGAGACTCCCGAATAAATGCTAGGGCAATTTATTATTAACCATGTGTCATGGTTGGGGCCTTTTTCATTTGGAGGAGATCTGCAGGTTTTTAACTCAACTCCTCTATTATAACACCTTCTTAAGAGTGTTCTTTGGATATTTTCATAATGTGGCATGCATCTGTGGTGTTTGGAAGCTGCAAAACTCAGTGATCTTAAATTTACTCCTAGGAAACCTGTGTTTATTTAGATATTTTCCTTGTGCTTGGAATAAATCTATAAATTTCATAGTGTAGCTGACGATTGCAGATTTTACATCTGCTGTCATCAGAAGCATTTCATGATCTCTCCCAGCAGTGGAAGCCACATTTCTGAACACTTTATTTTTTCCAAATGTATTTGCTGAATAATGGGTTTGGTTCTTCTTGGAACTTGTAAAGTTACCTCATGGAATGGAAAAAGAAGCTTTTGCCAGCAATTGGAACATCTCCTTGACTCCTGTGTTCAGCCAAACCACGTGCAGATGTTTGTCCCTGATGTGCTAATCATGCACCCCTCTGTTGTGCAGTGCTTTGGGTTAGTGACATCAGCCTGCTCTGAGCCTGGGCAGGGAGAGCTTGCACTGAAGACTTAAATCACTGAGTCACAAAACAGTGTGAATCTGCTATAGTTGAGTGCTCACGATTTCTTCTAGATGTCTAGATATTTCAATTTCTCAGTATACTGTATGCAGTAATTTTATTTTAAAAAAATACATGTCTTATCTCTCAATTTATGGTTTCTAATAGTCTGATTTTTTTTTCTTTTTAGAAAATAGCAAGGCTAGAAGTAATGATTTTGCTGAAAAGAATGGACTTCAAAAGTATGAGTATGTCATACATCCAAGAACTACAGGCTTTACTTTTGTGGTAGACCGTTTAAGAGAAGGTAGGCACCCACCTCAAAATGTGCTTTTTTTGGTAATGAAAGTGGTAAACATTTCTAAATACGGTTCTTTACTCTGATTTCCACCAATCTGTTTTTTGTATAGTGATTACATACGTAACAAATAATCATCTTCATCTAATAATTGCTACACTGTCATAAATCTGTCTGTACCTTGAGCCATTATGTAAGAGAAGATTTAAAGTTCTTGCTTATTTCCCTAACAGCATTAAGATACAAAGCATAACCTACCACAGTGAGGCTTCTTTACAGTTTTATACCTATGATTTTAAAGAGATGTGTATTGATGATCTAAAAATCACATTGCTGTGGTAAACCAGAATTGTTGCCTTACTAGTTTGGCTTAGTTGAAACTCTGTAGTCCCTGATAATACGGCCTGGACTTGAGGGCTTACCGTTCATATTGGCAGCGAGCAGTGAGTGCCTGTCTCACCACAGAAGCTCCTCTCATGGAGGAAGTAGTTCCTCTCACCTCGGAGTAAACTGGCCAGGAATCCAGACATAAAAGTGGTGGTGCTGGCTTTTTTTTTTAATTTTTTTTTATTTTGGCATCTAACTTAGACTCATCCTTCTCACTCAATAAAATGGTTTAAAGTGCTTCTGACACAGAACACATGTTGTCTACCAAATTTCTCTGTAAATCATAACTCTGAAATGCATCCTTTGCTCATAAAGTTCTTCCTAAATGTTAGCAGAATAATTGAGAGATTATTGTTTAGGAGATAGACTAGGTCTAAAAGTCTGAAATGCAAAGCCAGAGCAGAAATTGAAGGGGATAAACCACATTAAAGTTATTGGAATACAGTTTAACTGAATAGCATGCATTCTTTCCACAGTAGCTTGTTGCTTCCTGTATTGATAGCATGAGTTTTGTGAACAAAATCCCTAAATCCTAAAGCACCTGTGTAACAATAGTGAGATAGCGATGGGGCAGAATGGAGAGAAAATTCCTCTTACATGATAGAGGAGAGGAGCTTGAAGGCACAAGGTCAGAGAACCCTTGTTGAAAAGCAATCCAAAAATTGGTGGAGTCCCAGAGAGCTTTCTGATGTTTCGGCCTCTGAGTTCTGCCTGAAGATAAGTAGTGGAAAGGAGTTTGTGCTGAAACAAATGACGATTGTAATTAGTGTTTAGGTGGAATCCTGGAGACTACATATTAAATTACCGTAAAGTAGTTTCTTTACTATTCACGCTTGTTACTGCCCTCTATCAGGCAAATAGTACAAATGGACAAATGAGATATTTAAACATCAAGAAGTTAAGGATAAAGTTGTATCAGGAAATACTGTATAAGAGAAATTACAAAGCAAGGAAACTAATTGTTATGTGTCTTTGCGGTATTTTGCAGCATGATTGAGAGCACTTGGGAAACACACTTGCACTTATTTTAAAGTGTAACACCAGTTACTGGCATTATACAAATATGTTGTTTCTGTAATAACTGTAGAAAGTTTACCTTCAGTATTTGATTTCCACCATTCGTGTATTTGCTTTATACTACTAGATCATTATTCTGCCAATAGAAGGGACTCAGTCAGTCAGTATTACCTACACTGAATGTTTTAAAATTTGTCTAAAAAAGACATGTGCAGCCTACTGTGTTCTCAAAACATTGTATATTATTACACTGATGGATGTCTGTCCGTCATGGGTGCTTTATTTCATGTGTACCTATGACCACAGACCCTATGAAAAAACAAGAATGTTGTAGGAAGAGTGTAAGGAAGGGTGCAGAGTCAAACCAGTGTGGATCTGCACAGTGACCAGGACAAACGTTAGCCTGAAGGCACTGAAGACTTGTGTTGTAGAACAACAGACAACATTTAAAAAGCTGCACAGCCCCGATAGCTGTAACTTCAGCTTGTCTGTTTCTAGAGCCAGTCAATGATTTGACTAACATCATATATTAAGACTAACTCATTGTATAGTTATATTAAGTTGTAGGTTTGAAGTAAGAGTTTAGAAAATGTGGGGAGAGAAGGGGATAGAGTCTTGCAACATAGTGCAGGCTGGCCTTGAACTTGCTCGTGTAGCACAGGCTGGCCTCCATCTCAGTGCTCCTCCTGCTTCAGCCTCTTGAGTGCCACCATGCCCAGCAGGCTTTTTCAAATTTAATGCAGTCTATATTTTTATTTATGTTCGGCTTATATACATAAATTCTAAATATTAAGAAATGAAGGATGCAGTCTTCCCACTAATCTACAAGATACACAGTGAACTGCCGAAGAAAAACTAGATTCTCCCTGGATTTGCGTTCTTGAACAAAAGTCTTCACTCTATTCAGGGAGCGAGAATTGCTTCCGATTCACCTGATAGTCTGTGTTTGACTCTTTCATTTTTGTCCACAGTAGTTCTCATTTGCTCAGAAAAAACTGAAAGCAAGAGGAGTATACCAGCTGTAGATGGCTCAGTGTCTGCCACCGTTGTTAGCTCATTTGAACTTCTTGAAGTTTGTGCTCAGTTCACAGGTACCTGCTGACAGTCCAGTCTTTGTAGTGGCTTCCGGGGACTTTGTGTAGTGGGTACTAAAGATAGCCAGCAGAGGCCGCCATTCTGTGTGACTCGCACCATTTATTTTACTCAGTAGACCTCTCCAGGATTGCATTTCATTTACGCTTCCTAACAGCCAGAGTGTTGGGGTCAGGGGAGAAAGGCAGACAGACAAACCATTGAAATACTGAGTGCATCATGTGCCACGCACTCTGACCTTTCCATGTGGCCTTTTATTGCTGGAAACTATTTATGAAATACAGTAAGACCTTTCCCTTATGTTAAAAAATGTTACTGTACAGTGGACCTTTGACATTTGCTAGAGTATTTTCTGAGATCTTTCCTATTTCCCCAAATTTGCAAATATCTTTGTAGATTAGCAGTTGACTTTCTTCTGAGGTTGCTTGACAAGGAACAAATCTTTTATCTACTGATGCTGATGAATAACGTACAGCAGAATCTAACTATGATTTTGATATTGATCTGGGGGTAAGCACACAGGTCACCTAAATGACTGCATACTGTGAATCAGAAATTACTCAAATTTGCCTTCAGCAGAATTACATGTGACCACATGTTAGATCTTAGGGTTCTCTTCTTGTTGAATTTTCAGGTGCCATGCCTTAGATGGTATTTCTTTTCTTTGTTCATTAATACTGGCCTCTTCCCATTATAGAGCAAAAACTGTAAGCCATTCATTGAAACAGACCTTACTTTATGTTCAGTGAGAAGTCATGATTAACTTAAAGAAAAACCATGGAATCCCTGTGTGTGGGCATAAAAACACCATCTAACACTTACAAGTATCTACCAGATGACAGGCATCATGTTGTGCATATGCTTCCTTATTTTCCCCAAACAGTAGAGTCATCTGTGGAATTTTTATAAACACCCATCCTCATGTCCAAGGCCAGACCTGCTGAATTAGCCTGGTAACAGGATCTTGGGCTCCCAGGTACCCCCAGCCCATCCATTCCCTGCCATTCCCGTCCATGTCACTTAATTCTTCCAACTAAGCCAGCTAGGAGTTTGCCTGTGCTGAGATTGGCTCCTTTTAGCAACTTGCCTGTGGTAATTAATGATTTCTGAGTAGGGGCAAGTTAAAGTCAGGCCTGTTTGCTACAGATCTTCTTCTTTTTTTAATTTTATTTTTTTAATGTATTGGGGATCAAACTCACGACCTCGAGCTTGCCAGGCAGGCGCTTATGCCACTGAGCTAAATCCCTAGCCAGAGCTTCTTGTTTTTTCCACTGTAATAAGGTCACAGTTTTTCCCTTTCAAATTGTACAAAAATGTAGACTCCTGCCCACAGCAAGATTTTTCTCAGATCTCTTTGGCTTTACTGTGAGTTTTGTTAAAGTGGGAAGATAATAAAGTATTTCCCAATTATGTAATGTGCTACAGATATTTTTTTTCTGTGGTTATACTTAAAATGTTTACCCCAGCATTTTTTCTTCTTGGTACTGGGAATCGAACTTGTGACCTTGCATTTGCCAGGCAGGTGCTGTGCCACTAAGCCATATCTGGACTCTGCCCCAGCATCTTAATATTCACCTTTTGTTTACTTTTCTATATTTCTGCTAGAGTCTGTATCAGTCTATTCTAATTGTGCTTCCACCTTTTTCTTTACCTGTTAGCCAGTAAGTGTCAATAGTTTTTTACTTTTTATGTTGAAGAGAGAAGGATAGTTCTGTGACTTGATTTTTTTCAATACCGGTTCACTTTCTGTAAAGAGACGTAATAATCTGTTTTTAAACAATGTTTTTTTTTCCATAATAAAAGTAGAAACATTGATTAGAAAAAAATAAAGGCACCCATAGTTAAAAAAGGTTACTTCTCAGAAATATTGTGCCCATTTTTTAAATACTCTTGTTTTTACCAACTTATAGATACATAGAATGCACGATGAGGGTCACATCATATTGTTTAATTTTTTTTTTACCTTATTATGGTGTGAATGTTTGCATATAATCTAGTGGAAACTTTGTAAGTTTCAACCTATTGTTTAGGTTTTGCTAGTCAGAATTCCCCTTTGTGTAGTGTGAGCCAAACTATTTGAATTACTTTCCTTTCCTGACTGTGCCCTTTGCTTATTGAATGTTTTTTTAATTTTTTTTTCTTTTTCTTTTTTATCAGTACCAGGGATCAAACTCATGGTTGCCTGCTTGCAAGGCAGGCGCTTATGCCGCTGAGCTAAATCCCCAGCCCCTGCTTACTGAATTTTGCTTCTGGTTATGTCTGAGCACGCTAAATCCTGTCATGCTTTGCTCTCTCCCTTGACCTTCCAAGACCAGCATTCCTGAGAGAATCTGAGAATCTGTTCGCACTTTCCTGTTCCTCTGTACTAGCACTTTTACTGAGCACAGTAGACCTTTATTAATAGCTGCTTTAATACATTTTACCTTTTGTTCCTAAAAGGACAGCAAAGACTGGGACACCTAGATCATTAGAGGCAAAGATTTCTGTTTCTAAATCCAATGAACCTATTTCCA